CCTTGGCCCTCCCCAGATAAGTTGGGAAGGGGAGAGTGTGAGGGTCCCGGGCTAGGGATGGGGTCATGTGGGGGGTGGTCACAGGGGTTACTCCCCTGACTCCCAGCTTCTCCCCCCCCCCAAAAGTTTCCCCACCAGTTGCTGTCCCGGCTCATCAGGGTAAGCAGCTGGCGCACCGGGTCACTTTGTTTACTTAGGTTTACCTCCGTGCCTGCAGCCGCTCGAGGTAAACAAACCATCTTGGCCCACCAGCGGCTTATCCTGATAGCGTGGGAGCCAAAGTTTGCTAGCCCCTGAATTATAGGGTCGGCTTTTGAATGGGGTATAAAAAATTTCCATTTTTACTTATCCATCTCGGGGGGGGGGGGGGTCGGCTTATAAACGAACCGGCTTATGATCAAGTATATACAGTATATTGATGTCAATTACAACACAGAATACAAAGTACACAATGCTCACTTTATATTATTTTTTATTACAAATATATGTACTGTAAAAATGATAAAAGAAATAGTATTTTTCAATTCACCTCATACAAGTACTGTAGTGCAAGCTCTTTAGCATGAAAGTTGAACTTACAAATGTAGAATTATGTACAAAAAACTGCATTCAAAAATAAAACAATGTAAAAGTTTAGAGCCTGCAAGTCACTCCCAGTCCTACTGATTGTTCAGTCAATTACTAAGACAAACAAGTTTATTTACATTTGCAGGAGATAATGCTGCCTGCTTCTTATTTACAATGTCACCTGAAAGTGAGAACAGGAGTTTGCATGTCACTGTTGTAGTCGGTGTTGCAAGGTATTTACGTGCCAGGTGTGCTAAAGATTCATATGTCCCTTCATGCTTCAACTACCATTCCAGATGACGGGTTCTGCTCGATAACAATCCAAAGCAGCGTGGACCAATGCATGTTCATTTTCATTATCTGAGCCAGATGCCACTAGCAAAAGGTTCATTTTCTTTTTTGGTGGTTCGGGTTCTGCAGTTTCCACATCAGACTGTTGCTCTTTTAAAACTACTGAAAGCATGCTCCACACCTCGTCCCTCTCAGATTTTGGAAGGTACTTCAGATTCTTAAACCTTGGGTCGAGTGCTGTAGCTATCTTTAGAAATCTCACATTGCTACCTTCTTTGTGTTTTGTCAAATCTGCTGTGAAAGTGTTCTGAAAACAAACATGTGCTTGGTCATCATCCAAGGCGGCTATAACATGAAATATATGGTAGAATGCGGGTAAAACAGAGCAGGGGATATTCAATTCTCCCCCAAGAAGTTCAGTCACAAATTTAATTAACGCATTATGTTTTTTAACAAACGCCATCAGCATGGCAGCATGTCCTCTGGAATGGTGGCAGAAGCATGAAGGGGCATATAAATGTTTAGCATATCTGGCACATAAATACCTTGTAATGCCGGCTACAAAAGTGCCATGCAAATGCCTGTTCTCACTTTCTGGTGACACTGTAAATAAGAAGAGGGCAGCATTATCTCCTGTAAATGTAAACAAACTTGCTTGTCTTAACGATTGGCTGAACAAGAAGGAGGACAGAGTGGACTTGTAGGTCTGAAGTTTTACATGGTTTTTTGTTTTGTTTTCAAGTGCAGTTATGAAACAAAAAAAAACTACATTTGTAAGTTACACTTTCACGACAAAGATTGCACTACAGTACTTTTAGGCGGTGAACTGAAAAATAGTATTTATTTTATCATTTTTACAGTGTAAATATTTAAAATAAAAAATATACACTGTGATTTCAATCAAACAGAATGCTCTCTCTCTCTCTCTCTCTCTCTCTATATATATATGAAAATATAGAAAAACATTCAAAAATATTTAATAAATTTCAATTGGTATTTTATTAACTGTGCGATTAAAACGGCAATTAATCACAATTTTTTTGAGTTAATCATGTGAGTTAACTGATTAATCGACAGCCCTAGTTAGTTTTCTAAATATCTTAATTCTTTACCTCATTAAAAGCACAGCTATTTCTCGCAGTTTGAGCAGTTATATTTTTTACAGAATAGACACTTTGTTTTTCCACTATGAAGTTCACTTTTTTGTTACAAGTGATTGTAACAACTCTTAAATGGTGTTTAATTTAATGGCGGGGAAATGACTGACATAATGCATAACGTACAGCAGTTTCTCAGATAAGAATAGTTAAACTGTGGCCAGGGCAGCAAAACTGGGTTCATTTAAATAGCAGCACTCTTCATTACAAAGCACCTCCCCCTACTAACAGGGAAGTTTATTGCTCAGTTGACTTGCACAACAACTTTTTTAGTAACAATTATGAAAATTATTTACAACTAAAGTAAACTGATTTTACTTGGAATAAAAGTACAAGAGGTTTAAAAATTCATCCAGACACCTCAAGGAACAAAAGTCATATAAAAATACTGTTAAAAAGTAGCATAAATTGACAGGCAGAATTGCTCCATAGTTCATGAAAAAAGTACAAAGGTCCACAAGAAGCACTAAAAGGTAAAGATTCCATACAACCACAAATGATTAGAGATAAAATTAACCACATAATCAAAACCTGGTTTGTAAGATTTTTTTCCTCTGCCATTCAACAGACAAGTGTAGCTTAATTAATCAAAGTCAGAAAAGAGGTTATAACAGACTACATCTCAGTTTTTAAGTTGCCATAACCTACATTGATGCACAGTTAGTCCAATAAGCTATAAGTTATATACCATTTAAGTGCCATCTCATCTGTGCTATGTGAGAAAGCCCAGGATGAGCTTCTTACAATTATTCAGCTAAAGAAAGTCAAAATATAAAGATAAACCCTACTGAATTGTCTAAACCCAGAATTCTCTTGTTTAATTCATATATTTCAAGAGAGAATAACCCTACTGGAACTATTCCAGTGAAGTGTCCATAAAAATCCAGGCATTCCAAGAGCCATGGAGGATAAACTAGGTTCTCTTTTCCTGTATGAAGACAAATTCCAACTGTATAATAAAGCCACTCTTTAGAGCTTCTAAAAACCATTATAAAGTATGTAACTAGAGCCTGATGTGGCTAGCATAGAGGTCACTATTTCCCATTGAAAATCAACGGCAAGAGGACCAAGCTCTTAAGCCCCCTTCCCCCTCCAAACTCATGTAGTGTATACAATTTATATTCTTCAAAACAAAACTCCACATCTATAGTTAAGGAACAAGGATAGTCCATTATCTTAACTCCATCTTTGTTTTCCATCCCCACTTCCATCATTCTGTTCTCCCCTTCCCCAAAATGACATCTAGAGGATGCGTTTGTAGCCATTTTAATTATCTAATCCTCCCTTCCCCAGCTTATTCCATATTTATCCTGGATAAAGTTCTTGTGGGCAAGTTTTCCCATTTATTCCTAGTTTTCCCAGTTTGTACATTACAAGCATTATGGATGCTTCTGAGCACAAGGGAATGGCACATGTGACAAACTCATTTTATAGTTTTCAAAACTTGTATTAGCCCACGTTCAGACTTAGCAACCTCACTAATGAGAGAAATCAGCGTCCTTCTTTCCTCAGAAAAAAGTAACCCTGCATCCTCTGAGTTAAACATCTCGAAGGAGAGGTGGTTAAGATAAAGTATTTTTCTACTATTAGTAATCAGTTCAGCCAATTAGGAACACCTTCAGTGATTGCCCATTATTATTTCAGACAACTCACAGACTTCGTTTTCAGTTATCAAACATTCTGACTACTACAGGAGAAGTGAACCCATTAGGATGCGTCATTAGGCTGACAGAACACCAAGGCAGTTACATATGGGACAAACAGTAGGATCTAGGCAGAGAATCAAGAGCACAAAATATTACTGCTGGCAAGTGGTTCTTCTCCTATATTTTAATTTTGTATTTTCCAATGGCTTCTAGGTGTGACTCAGCCATCCCATTGGACAGACACATCAGAAATATAGAAAAAGCAAAAAGGTGAGAGGAAGGTCAAATGAACTAGGAGAATAAGATGTTTTTAAAAATCCATTTAAAAATTTAAGGAAACTTACAAGAAGTTAGATCAGCATAACAGGAGTCACCTCTTGGCATTGAACCATCAACTGATTATCCCATGATCTCATCACAGTGTAGCAAATTGAATGTATTTTATAGACTAGAGGTCTTGGAATTATTTCAAGAAAGAAAAGCCACACAAGGTGAATACCTTGTCACCAACTGGTCACCAGCAGAGTAGTCCGTGCCACATTGAAAAACCAGGTCATGATGAGAAGGTCTCTCCAAAGGAAGTGGAGTGAGGAGCTTCTGAGAAGGGAAAGGACTATTATTCCAGTTCTGTCTCAAGGACTGCTCTGTAAACATCGTGACCCGTCCAGCCAGTACCTCAATAGTGTTGCTGCAAGAGCCAAAGACTCGGAAAAAGGCCTGAGTTTCATGGAGCAAGAAGCGCACTTCCAAGATCTCTGGTCTCGGCTTCAGCAAGTTTTCCTGGCTCAGGAGATCAGCCAGGGAGTGGAGCTCATAGAAGTCTGCTTCTCTTTGCAGCCTCTGATAGTCTGAAAAGTCCGTGGGCAGAGAAAGCTGGAGTGTCCTCAAAAAATCCAAGATGTAATTAAACAAAGTTCCATCTCTGTCCACAAAGAATTGTCCATTCACCAGCCTGAATTCATGGTCATTGCCATTCAACATCCGTGCTAACCTGGACTCTGGGAACCTCCGCAGGGTGGAAACCCATGTTGTAAATTTTGAGCCTCCCACATTCAGAATGGCCACTTCTTGATTGCTCATATTGTCTCTCCACCAATCAAGGTTAACACTGACCTATGTCTTTCTAACCAGACTATTCCTAAACTGCAACTGGGACTACAAGTATCATTCAGTAATCTTACTGCATGTTTGGGATAAGGTGTGTAGCACCACTAGGGTTCCTAGGCAACAAGAAGCGTAAATACAACTAAAGATAGCTGTTTGCAGGTCCTAGTTGCTTGGGAACTTGGACTCTTGAAACAAAAATAAAAAATGAACAGCTTCCAAAGACTGTTGAAAAATGGTTGACTGACTCCAAGTTTTGAAAAACCCTGATAAAAACCAAGAACTATCCCCAAAAGCAAGACATTCAGTATAAATATTTGAGCTTTACAGAACCACCACAAGAAGATTTCTATACCACTGTGGGTGACCCACTGCTAAAAGAAATGTTAAATATACTTTAAGGCAACTCCACAATCATGCTCTGAAATGAGAACCTTTCAGAGAAGTTGGAAGTGTATTTCACTAAATGTTTCTGATCTGAAAGGATTTGATGATTAATATGTTTGTATGAAATATCCATACAGAGATATGGTAATGATTTACTATTTCTTTATATATTCAATTATCCTAGAGTTAAGTCATGAAACTCACTAAACTAAATTCTTCCAGGGTTCACTGCAGCCAATGGAATGACACTGAGGAAGTCTACACTACAACTAGAGGTGCAATTGCCACACGGGTTGACATACCCACACTAGCTTTAATTTAGCTAGTAGTGCTGAGAATAGCAGTGAAGTCACAGCACCACAGGTTTCAGTTGAAGCTGTACAAGTCTGCCTGGGGCCCTGGATACATACTTGTATTGCCCACGCTGCCATGTCATCACTGCTATTTTTATATGTGCTAGCTAGATTATAGGTAGCACATGTATGCCAATCCATGCTCCAACTGCAGAGCGGAGATAAGAGCATGACCTATCTCAGGGCTAAGGAGTTTCCTAACACAACAAGACAAAGCCAATGTTAATGGATGTGATTACACAGCAGGTTTACAGGCAGCACCCCATCTCTCCAGCTGTTGAAGTTATATTGACTGATGTGGGGAGGCACAGAAGAGAAGCTCCCCCCTCCACCAGCCTCACATTGCTGGGAAGATTGTGTTTTAGGGAGGTTTGCTTCCTGGCTGTTGAGCAGGGTGGAACTGTCATTCTTTCACCTTAAAGCAGGCTCTGTTCTTACTTTCTACCACCACCACAAAGGGGAAGGGAATGGAGAAAACTCCCTAGTCCATGCATTCACCATATAAGTACTTTACGCTCACTGCCACAATGAGCTGCACTGTATCCCCAATTGTGAGCAAGTGGGTGCATTTCTCAATAGGGAGCTTAAATTCTTTACATCAGAGGCACTTTTTAGAAAGACACAGAGATGCAGGTGGCTTTTAAAAACAAACAAACCACGAATCCAACATGAAGATGCTCAATCCCTTGACAGGGCTATAGCTGGAAAAGTGTCATTGCACAGCATACAAGAGCACCTTGCAGCTTGTTCTGCCCCACTCACTTCCACTTGTTTCTCTTTCCTATTGCAATTTGTTCGAGGCCACTGCCCTGAAGACTTTTTAAAATAAACCCTGTAATCAATAGCCAGTGTTTATATAGTACTGCATATACCCAGGATGAGGATTCAGTGAAATTTAACATCTTCAGTTATGAAGAGATTCCAAAGAGTTAAAGTACCACTCTGTATTTTGCAATGGATGGCCAGTCTTAGGCAAACTTTGCAGCCCACCTCTCTTAGCAATCAGAAGTGTCCTTCCTAATTTCAAAGAACCTCCCACATCAACGTTTTTTGTTGTATTTAGGGATCAGCCCTTTTTACTCTAGGACATGTAAAAGCATTAATACAGCTATATTAGTATTTGACTATATACATGGTTAGTTTTGCCTTATATTTTGGTTAGAGCAAGGAAGTGCATTATTCCCAAAAACATTTTGAAACAAGATCTCAGAAGCAAAAGTATGTTTTTCCAAAGTTCGGTTTTACCTTCCAGCATATATCCATGCTTGAACTACACGAACAATAACTCAGTAAACATTCTGAGTATTAAATGCTTCCATCAGAAGCCAAAGGTTTTTTTTAAAACTGTGCATGCACTGTTAAGTTTTCTGCACCAGAGTTCTGTTCACTTCTTGGGCTTCTGAATTTGTGCTTTGGTAGTGGACATTATAACAGTTTATATTTGCACACAAATTGTGCAACATTATCCAATACCACTAGTGTATAATTTTTGCACTTTTCACTTAGAAGTGAAGCTCCATCTGTCATTTGCTCCCAGTAAAACACGGCATGGTCAGCTATCTCTGCAGTGTCTACCAGATAGGATGAGCCAATTGTAAAAAGTTGAGTTTTCCAGTACTGAAGATTGTCAAAGACAGATTCCACAAAGGTCATTCTGGTGGCTGCAAGGATAAATAAGCAAATCAGAGAAGTCACTATACATTTGTGTGAAAAGACTGAGGAAATCTTGAAATTAAGCATGCTGTTTTCCTGAGGCAAAGAAAGTTTGTCCACATCTACTAGTTTTATACCATCCCACTGGCTGGTATCGAAGTTCTTTATTGTGGGATTGATGTCTACACTGGAACAAGGCAGAGGGGTTTCCTTGATCACTTTGATTTTTTCCCTAAACTCCTGCATCTGTTGCAGAAATATAATGGGCTCAGACACATCCTTAAAGGCTTCTGCAATGTTAAAAGCCATTCGCTGCTCTTGTAGAATTGTGTTCAGTTTATTGATTTCTGGGTCATAGGCCTGCATCACTGCAAGCTTCATGGTCTCAAAGTCAGACAGAATCTCATTTCTTTTCTGCTCCAGTGTGTGCTGCAGCTTCTCAAAGAACTCTTTCACTTTGTCTGAGTCCTTTGTCAGCATCTGCAGCGCTTTCCTCTTGCTTGTTTCCAAGGTGTCTAGCCGGGAGAGCGCATCCCCACAACGCCATGTTTCAAAGCCCTGAAACAGGGTTTCAAAAGCACGCTTCTCCTGTGAATAGGCATCTTCAATGGAGCAAAATACATGCTTTGTGTGGTCACCTCGAGTGGCACAGACACCACATATCAGCTGCATATCTGTCCGGCAGAAAATGTTGAGGGGCTGCCCATTGTGCACCTTACACATGGGCATTTTGGGAGTTACTTTTATTTTGTTATACTTCTCCACAATACCTTTCAGGGAATAGTTGACTTGTAAATTATTGATTCCTGTAACAGGAGTTTCCTTCCGGCAGGTAGGACACTTGAAAAGTGGGGGTGGTCTCCAGACCACACTCCGGACATTTCCCTCTAGGATCCCCTCCAAACACTTCTTGCAAAAGTTGTGAGAACAAGGTAAAACCCGAGGATCTTCAAACAAGCCACAACAAATGGGACAGGTGAGGTCTTCCTCTAAGAGCTCCATCACATCCTATGGAAAGGAGAGGGAAAAAATATTAGAGGGACTTGATAAGAACTATTTCCATTCCACCATTAGTCAAATGGGGAAGAGGTTACAGTAAACCATGCCAAGAGTAACTTCCATTTGAGACAAGCTTAGTATAGCTTGCACTGGCTCAGTGACAGAAGGCTTTTTTTGGCCCAAGGAGTTTCAAGGTGGGGTCTCAGCTGGGCTGATATGCATGTTGCACACACTGCCAGTTGAGCCACAAAACAGAGGACTCCACTAATTGCTTGAGTCTGTTCTAGTATTGGACCATCAGACAAAAGCTGCTCAATGTCAAGACAAAATCCGTTTCCCAGTCTTAGCATAAACACTGAAAAGGAATGTTAGCTAACCTGACAATGATCTTTAATATCTGCTGAAAATAATTTGAGTACTAATTCAAAACTTAAGTCTTATTGCAGCGATGCAATACTCAGAGATTGATTTGATCTGTGTTGTGAAATTTCAATATGGCAGACAATGTTAAAATTGAACCAAAAACTATTACATTTCACTTCCCCAACTCCTACAGTACTTACTTTAATTTAAAAAAAAAAAAAAAAAAGTAGGTCACTTTTTTTGTGGGGGGAAGCAATATGGAAGGTGACTTACAGAGGAAAGCATCAGAATTTCCTCAATTTTAGTAGAGTTTGTTAAATGCCCCCTCTCCTCAGCCCAAAGGCCAGTCAGCATTTGTTTAAACTTAGTTTAAGAAGTTTGGGTGCAGGGAAGAAAAATGTGTGAATGCCCTTTTCCTTGCTATAGGGGTATTCAGCACAAAGTTGAAATATTGTAAGAATATAGAGGTAACTCTTAAAAACCACTGCCGTAAAAATAATTTATAATCTACTTTTGATTACATAATCTGTATTTCCAGCTCCAATGTCTCAATATCTGTTTTAATTATGGCAATTCCTTTGAGGGGGGGTCCCCTAAGAAATTAGGATTTATCAAAAGAAAAATGTGAGACTTATCTTGTATTGCAGTAGCCCCTAAATGCCCCAATCAGGGATCAGGCCCATTATGCTAAGCACTGAATTTATGCAACAGAAACCAATTCTCTGGTGCAGAGATCTTACAGTCTTAGCATATGAAATGAGAAAGCAGGTGGATACTTAGAGGGGAAAAAAGTTAGAATTTATATTTGCCAAACCTGCAGATCCGATTAGTTTGGTGTTGGAAGTTAAAAATACTTTGTGAGAACTAAAAGACAACAATAATTTCCCCATGCTTAGTAGTATATTACCAAAGTGGCTAAACAGTAAGTTCTCCTCAATTCTCATAGTGCTATCACACAAGGTACCAGACCCTTAAGAAAGGCAGGAAACTGATTAAAAAAAAAAAAGATAGTCAGGAAGAACCATTCAGAGGGATATCAAGGATACCAGTGGATACATGGAAGGCAGAAAAATCAAGAAAGACTGCACTGGGAGAAAAGGAAGGTTTGGGATGCAGTTTGGTATGATCAAAAGAAAGCTTTCACCACAAGTAGACAGATATTGGCCGCGACAAAAGAAAGAAACATTCTTCAGAGGGTACAATCAACCCCCAAATTCATTTATCCAATTACTAGAGATGTTCGTATGGATAAGCGGGGCTTGAAAAATTTACCAGACTTCTACTCAGCCAGAAGACTAAGCCTACTAACCAAAAGTCAGTCACCTCAAAGTAGGGTTGCCAGGTGTCCAGTTTTCGACTGGCACACACGATCAAAAAGGGACACTGAGGGTTCCAGTCAGCACCGCCGAATGGGCCATTAAAAGTCTGGTTGGTGGCACAGCAGGGGCCCAGAACTAAGGCAGGCTCTTTACCTGCCTTGGTTCTGCGTGGCTCCCAGAAGTGGACGCCAGGTACCTGAGGTGGCCAGGGAGGCTCTACGTACTGCCCCCACCCTGAGGGCCAGCTCCACAGCTCCCACTGGCCAGGAACCACGACCAATCGCCTGTGGGTGCGAGGGCATAGCACGGAGACTCCCTGGCCGCCCATGCGCCATGAGGCTACAGGGACTTGGCAGCCGCTTCCTGGGAGCCACAGTAAGTGCCGCTGGGACCCTGCACCCCAAACCCCAGCCTAGAGTCCCCTCCGGCACTCCAACTCCCTCCCGGAGCCCACACCCTGCTCACACCCCAACCCCTTGCCCCAGCCCTGAGCCCCCTCCTGTACCCCAAACCCCTCATCCCTGGCCCCACCCCAGAGCCCGCACCCCCAGCCGGAGACCTCACCCCCCTGCCCCAGCCTGGTGAAAGTGAGTGAGGGTGGGGGAGAGCGAGCGACAGGGAGGGAAGATGGAGCAAGTGGGGGGTGGGACCTCAGAGAAGGGGTGGGGCAAGGGTGTTCAGTTTTGTGAGATTAGAAAGTTGGCAACCCTATTCCAAAGCCTAGGGGCAAGGCCATGGTGAGAAGTCCTGTCCGCACCATTCTCAGCTGCTGGAATTCCTAATAGAGCATTGTCTCTGGATTGGATTCAGGGACTCCATTTTCCTACAGGAGTCTTCAGCTATCAGGTTAATTTGAAGCACCTCTCTTATATAATAATGCTAATACTGGCTGTTTATAAAGATACTGAACAGTAACCTACCTTATTTTTGATCTTTTGGGAAGCCATTTAGGACTTGTGATTTTAAAAAAAAGTAAAATGGGAAGCTATGAGCACATCTCCTCTCTTCCTCAAGCAGATGCCAGTAATATTAACATTAGAAATCTAGAAGTTCTCACATGACAGAGAGGGATATGTCTATATCAAATTGTGAACTCCAGTTTGTATTACAATCTTCATTTTGGATTAAACATCCATTTTATATTAAGGGCTTGGCACCTAGTTAAAAACTAGGTCTAAGAAGCCATCACAGATAACTAAGGGTCATCAAATTTGGCTGTCAACTTCTGGCCCATCACCATGCAACAAAGGAATGTGTACACAGAAGCCTGATGGGAAGAAGGGGCTGGAATTTCCAAGCTAGAGCATATGGGTAAGAAGGAAGGCCATCCACTGCCACATGGCAGAAGACTGGGCTGAAGAGAGAAAGTGGGAGGGACTCTGCCTTGCCTGCAAGGCTGACCATACCTCAGACTCACAGAAGAAATGAGATAAGACTAGGAGTGTACCTCAGGGCTCTTATTTTTCAAAATGATGCAATCCTGGTTAAGAAATTCCTTTGCAAAGCCTGTATTCCATGCTTACCAGCCACGCCATCCCTGAAGAGGTTAATAAAGCAACTCAGAGCACCCATAGTAAAGTGGAACTGTGAACGTGCGAGTAAAAGCAATCAGCGACTCAGAAGGGCTGAGGCATTGGCATCTAAGGGCTTGTCTACACTGCAACGTTGTCGACAAAACTTGTGTCTTTCCCAGGTACTTAAAAAAGCTGCCCCGCAAAAGACAAAAGTTTTGCCGACACACGCGGCAGTGTGAACACGGCTTTGTTGCAGGAATGCTCTCCTGCCGACAAGGCCACTGCTGCTCGCGGGGCTGGAAGTATTTTGTCAGCAAAAGTGCTGACAAAATACCAATAGAGAGCATTCACACACGCTGACTTTTTGCAACAAGGCTGTTGTCTCTAAAAGCTGCGTAGCGTAGATAAGCCCTAAGACTATGTCTACACTGGCAACTGAACAACAATACTTGTGTCTTTCAGAGGTGTTAATCCCCAAAAAACAGAAGTTTTGCTGCAACAAGTGCCAGTGTGTTGGGGGTGGAAGTTTTTTGTCGGCAGGAGAGCTGACAAACAGCAACTACAATGTGCTACTTTTAGTGGTACGGCTGTAGCGACATCTATGTCACTAAAAGCTGTGTAGTGTAGAAATAGCCTAAGGCAGCCAGGCTGCAGAGCCCCACGCCCCAAGGAAGGGTGTCAGTGATAGGATCTGCACTTGGGGTTTGCCTTAGAGATCCAGATCTAGGAACAGTGACCCACCTCTGCTTAGACCCAGAGGCTTAGAACCATGTGGGATCCAGTGGTTGGGTCCACTTACAACTGATTAACTCAACTAGAGAGGGAGACTAGGCCAGTTGCGACAACTTGTTCAAAATCTGAGTTCCCCACTTATTTGGAATGGACTGATTTGAGAATCAACTCTTTTTCCTTAAGTAAGCTAGAAGCTGTTCCTCATGGGAGCTATTCGATCGCTCTAGCTTCCAAATCTAAAAGATGTCCGCTACAGAACAAAACAAGACTTTTGGCTTTCCATTCACAGTGAAGATATGCAAAACAAGTCAAAGTATAAATGCAAAACAAATGGTCTAATTCCTCATCCCAAATATTCTCTCAGATGAAAACAGGAAAAGTTAATCTAGTCTGTTTCTAGAATGCAGATGGTGGCTTATCAGATAGTAGCAGGAAACAAGGTAAAGTGAAAGATGAGGCAACGCAGGCAAGGCTTGATCCAGCTGAGTACAGCATCCAAGTTTCCACTATTTATTTCAAAACTAGATTTCTCCAAACAAGAAAATGTTCATTGATTACTAAATTCATGTCATGACAAGTATGAATTTTAAAGAAAAAGATGCTTGAGCCTCAGAACAGACATTTTTCAACACCTGAATTCCAGGCACAAAGCTCAGGCAGTTGAAAGATAACTGAACATAAAGTGGCCAAACTAGTTTACAGCCAAAATTCCTAATATTTAGGATCAGTCCAAAAGATTAAGCTTTAGACAGCTGTAAGTGCCTAAAACTAAGGATTTATTATTAAGTGTCTTTACAATAATAAGTATACAGCTTTGCTACCACAGCATCATAATCCATAGAACAGACATGAGATGGGGACAGCATATTTCCCTATTACTCTATCAGTCTCTTAATCTTTACCTGCTTAGAGCTACTCTATGCTGCTCAAAGAAACTGATGAGGCTAACAGGGGGAGGAAAGCTGCAACTTCTTAAAAATTGTTGTTTCCCCCGTCGTAACGATGCTGGTTCTGGCGGGACCCAATAGAGTGCCAATTCAGGACAAATTGCTTAAAACAGGGCAGTTGCAGCCCAAGGCTGGGATTTTTCCACCTCTAAGGCAAACCAAACCAGCCAGATACAGAGAACTTTGGTCTCACCCCACTGGCTAACCACAAGTCACACAAGCGATTCCCTTAGACACTCCAGTTTTCCAGTATCACCACCAGTGCCACTCGTTAGGGGGACAAATGGTTATGAAAACCAATACCCCAGTAAAAGAAAAAAGATTTTCTTGATCCCAAAGGACTAAGCCCCAGACCCAGGTCAATATACAAATCAGATCTTACCCACAAATCATCTAAAATCTAAAGGTTTATTCATAAAAGGAAAAAGATAGAGATGAGAGCTAGAATTGGTTAAATGGAATCAATTACATACAGTAATGGTAAAGTTCTTGGTTCAGGCTTGTAGCAGTGATAGAATAAACTGCAGATTTAAATCAAGTCTCTGGAGTACATCCCCAGCTGGGATGGGTCATTCAATCCTTCGTGTAGAGTTTCCTTTTGTAGCAAAGTCCCTCCAGAGGTAAGAAGCAGGACTGAAGACAAGATGGAGATGAGGCATCAGCCTTTTATAGTCTTTGCCAGGTGTAAGCACACCTCTTTGTCCTTACTGTGGAAAATTACAGCAAAATGGAGTCTGGAGTCACATGAGCAAGTGCCTGCATACTTTGAGTTACAAGGCATATGTGCCTTCTCTCAATGGGTCAATTGTATAGCTGATGGTCCTTAATGGGCCATCAAGCAGGCTAGGCAGAGCTGACACCAACTTGTCTGGGGTGTCACTCAGAAACATAGCAGAAGTTTGAAATACAGACAGTATAGAGCCAATATTCATAACTTCAACTACAAAAACGATACACAGATAGCATAACCAGCAAACCATAACCTTGTCTTAGACACCCTATTTGACCCCCCTTTATACAAGATTTGGTGCCACTACAGGACTTTGGTTGCAACAATGATCTATACGGTCCCAGTTCACGTCAATAACATCACACCCGTATATTGCTTTCCAAAGTAACCAGTCTTCTCCTGGACTTGCTGAGAGGCTTTAGACAAACTAAAGATTCCAAAGTGTCCAGTACACCTGTTTTTAACTTAAAGTAAGGATTTCCCATTCCTCTTTCCTTAGGCACCTGGATCTCAGAAAGGAAGGCCAATGAAGCCAGCAAATCCTGACCTTTGAGGAGTTTGTCCCATAATCACCATAACTTGGAATCTGTTAACTAACTTAGGGTAGGTCTACACTTTGCTTACCGCCAGACCCAGAGGTAAGCAATCGATCTTCTGGGATCGATTTATCGCGTCTTGTCTAGACGCGGTAAATCGATCCCGGAAGTGCTCGCCATCGACGCCGGTACTCCAGCTCGGCGAGAGGAGTACGTGGCATCGACAAGGGAGCCTGCCTGCCGCGTCTGGACCCGCAGTAAGTTCGAACTAAGGTACTTCGAATTCAGCTACGTTATTAACATAGCTGAATTTGCGTACCTTAGTTTGAAGTGGGGGATTAGTGTGGACCAGGCTTTAGTGCCTTCAACTCCATTTTATCGTTCTAACGAAGGAAACTGAATTGATGCCACATTTCAGAATGAAGCTAATTACAGTACACCCTCACTATAATGAGCCTCTCAGGATCCAAGCCTTTTGTACATTATAGCCAGGGGTTTGTTAGAACGAAAAGACAATCAAAACAACACAGCGGCGGGGCTCCGAGCTGTAGTTGTGCACACGTGTGCAACGCGCCTCCTCCCCTTTTTTTTAAAGCACACACAGTATTGTACTGTAGTTGGGATCCAGGTTCGGTATAGACAAAGGTTCATTATAATGAAGTGTGTATTGCAAGAGTGTGCTGTATTTCTACAGGTGGACTATAGAAGCGTCTTAAAAATATTGTTACCCAATAACCTTTTAAGTTTAGGAGTCAAAGCTTCTAACATAGTGAGAAAATGCCAGTATGGTTATAGCAGAATGAAGCGTAGGGGATTCCACATGAAATTCTTTCAATCCATAAAGAGGGAAGTTAACAACAAATTAGTGTTGAACCTCAAGTGAATATTAACCAACAAGATGAGAGAAATCAATTATTTTTAGTGCACCATGGAAAAAGGAGAGGAACCAATTTGAGCGCATTGAACCAGTTCTAGAGATGGAGATGAATCTGAACCCTGGGATCCGGATTCCAACGCAAAATTTGCAAGTGCTCAGATCTTGCATTTTAAGCCATTATATAAAGCCGCTGTGGCGTGTGGATCCAGCTCTCTGCTACCGCAAAGTCTGGGGGCGGGAGCCAGGCCCTTCCACGGCCAGGCGGAGGAACTGGGGAGAGGGGGGCGTTAAGCAATTGCTGTAGCTTAGCCCCGCTCACGGTAGCACTACGCGGCCTGTACTGCTCCTGGGTGTCTGCAGCAGCCGCGCCGGGGCCCAGCCGGAGCCCGTCCCTTCCAGGGGGCAGCGCAGCGCACCGCACCGCACCGCACGGGGAGAGGCAGCCCCATGCCAGCGGCCGCGGCTCTCGGCAGGGCGAGCGTGTCTCCGCTCTTCCCCTGGGAGGTTCCCGGGGTTCCCCACCCCTGCTCGGGAGAGGGGAGCCGCAGCTCCCGCTACCGGACCCAGCCTGTGCCCCACGCTGGGAGCCCCGCCGCCCGCCCGGGCTCGAGGACCCGCCCCCTCCAGGGCAGGCGGGGACCGCCGCCCTCCCAACCCCGTGCAAGCCCGGGGAGGCCGCGACGCCCCGGGGCTGGCGGCGAGAGGCCGCAGGCCAGCCCAGCCCGCCAACGCGCCTCACCTGCGGGTCCGCCGCCTCCCGCCGGGCCGGGCGCAAGGCGCGGCTGGAGCCCGCCGCTTGCCTTAGCCGGACACTCTCGCTGCTGAGGCTGGGCCCGGCGCAGGCGGCAGGCGCCTCCCCCGTCCACAAGCATCGGGAGGGCGGGGCCAGGGCCCCGCTTTGTACCTCCCCGCCGCTGTTGGGGAAGGGTGTCTGTGCCGCTGCCGAGGTCCGTGTGGCCTGAGCACGTTGCATCAGGTTCAGGGTGGTCCCGGGGCCTGGCTTGGGAAGGCTGGATTGACACAGGCCGGGAATTTACGTCCTCGTCACAGAACCCCCCCCCGTGATTCGAGGGGCCTCGGGCAAGTCATTTGGCCTTGTGTGCACTGGGGAAAGGTGTAAACCATCTGCCCTTGGGGGATCAGCCCTACTGTAGAGCAGGCACTGGTGTGTGGGTCTATGTGTACCATGCTGTCAAGTGCGATGAGAGGTTAGCAAAGCTTTCTCAATGCTCCCATTGCTGCTAACCACTGTTCAGATGAGCCAGTGGGAATTTTTTTTTTTTTTACTTTCCTCAGTGTAGGCATTTAACCTGGCAGTTTCCTCATCTGTTAAACTGGAGTATTAATAATGTTGTAAAGCAAAATTTATTAATGAGCAAGTAAATACATTTGGAGCAAGAGAAAAACAAAGGCAAATGTAGGTCCTCTACTTGGCAGGGAAGGAGAGCCAATAACTGTTGACATCAGGAAAGCAGTAGTGCTTAATGCAGCTTTTGCTTCGGCTTGCACTAACAAGGTCAGTAATGACAGATGCTCAAAATAGGGAAAGAACGGGCTAAAATATTTAGATAAGTAAGATGTATTCAAGTCAGCAGGGCCTAACAAAATTCATCTTAGGGTACTTAAGGAACTAGCTAAAGCAATCTTGGAGCTGTTAGCAATTTTCTTTGAGAACTCATGGCAGACATCAGGAGAGGTCCCAGGAGACTGGAGAAGGGCAAACATAGTACCTATCTTTAAAAGGGGAAACAAGGAGGACCCAGGGAATGCTAGACCACTCAGCCTAACTTCAATACCTGGAAAGATATTGGAGCAAATTATTAAACAATCAGTTTATAAGCACCCGGAGGATAATAGAGTTATAAGAAATAATCAGCATGGATTTGCCAAGAATAAATCATGCTAAATCATCTTAATTTCCTTCTTTGATAGGATTACTGGCCTAGTGAATGGGGGGGAAGAAGTAGATGTGATATAACTTGATTTTAGTAAGGCTTTTGACACACTTCCGCCTGACATGCTCATAAGCAAACTGGGGAAATGTAGTCTAGATTTACTATAAGGTGGGTACACAACTGGTTGAAAGATTGTACTCAAAGAATAGTTATCAATGGTTTGCTGTCCAAATTGGGAGGGAGTATCTAATTGGGTCCCACAGGGGTTGGTCCTGTGTCTGGTACTATTCAATATTTTCATTAATGACTTGGATAATGCATATAAAATTTGCAGATGACACCACGCAGGGAGGGATTGCAAACACTTTGTAGGACAGGCTTTAAAATTCAAAGTGACCTTGACAAATTACAGAGTTAGTCTGAATTCAACAAGATGAAATTCAATAAAGACATGTGCAAAGTACTTCTCACAGGAAAGAAAAATAAAATATACAACTACAAAATGGGGAATAACTGTGTAGATGGTAGTACTGCTGAAAAGGATCTGGGGATTGTAGTGGACCACAAACTGAATGTGAGTCATCAGTGTGATGCAGCTGCAGAAAAGGTTACTATGATTCTGGAGTTTATTAACAGGAGTATTGTATGTAACGGTAATTGTCCCGTTCTACTCGGCACTGGTGAGGCCCCAGCTGGAGTACTGTGTCCAATCCTGGGTGTCACACTTTAGGAAAGATGTGGACAAAATGGAAAGAATCCAGAGGAGACCCAACACAAATGATAGGGTTGGAAAACCTGACTTATGAGGAAAGATTAAAAAAACTGGGCAAGTTTAGTCTTAAGAAAAGAAGACTGAGGGGGGAAACTGATAACAGTCTTCCAATATGTTGGGGGTTGTTATAAGAGGAAGGTGATCAATTGTTCTCCATGCAGGATAAGAAGTAATGGACTTAATCTGCAGCAGGGGAGATTTAAATTAGAAATTAGGAAAAGCTTTCTAACTATAAGGATAGTTAAGTTCTGGAATAGGTCATGGAGTCAGGGGCGATGGAGCCTTCCTAAAAGTGTGAGGGGGAGCATGAGGCCCTGCCCCTGCCCGTGCCCCTCCTCTTCCCCCTGAGGCCACACCCCCTGGCCAAGCTGGAAGCTGGAGCCAGAGTGGGGAGCTAGGGCCTTTCCACCTGCCTGGGGTGAAGGGGCCCGAGAGCAGCCCCCAGCCTGTGTCCCCAGGCCCCCCGTCCAGGACAGGTGGAGGGTCCACAGCTTCCCACGGCTGCTCGTGCCTGGCCTGGGGGTGGGGCCTCGGTGACTGAAGAGCCACAGCTGGGCCATAGTAAGAACCGCCCAGGCAGCTGTGAGGAGCTGTGGATGTTGTAGATGATGTTGGATTAATTTATTTAAAATTGATAACTGACTATTCCTCAACTTCATGAGTTGACATATCTGATGCCAGTTTTCACATTACTGGAAGAGTATGCCACAGATAATTGTGGGAGGGTGCCAACAAGTCTGAAATTAGAACTATTTCCTATTAAGGGACATTTGAGTAAAACAAGATGGGAGTCCTATGATAATTGAAAAAGTGTCATATAAAGATTTTCTAGACCTGGAAGGTCTCACTCATGTTTGGGTGAGGAAAATGCGTTCATTTGGGATTCATTTTAAAGACTAAAGAATTTTCCTGTGTGTGTTTCAATGAGACTTTTAAACTCATAGTCCCAGTGCTAGTCAGAACCCATTTAATGGGGCTTCATTTGAACACTAAAGTCCACCCAAATGCAAGATCAAGGCTTAACATATCACTGCTTTTAAATTCTCCTCACTTAAATTGTCACAGCCTGACATAGTTTTCTCAGTACCTACCAGGC